ATATATATATATATAATAGCTTTTGTAATAAATTTGAATATATTGTGTTACTTAAATATCTAAACAATTTAAAAATTCAAATGTTTAAATTAATTGATAAATAATTTAAAAATCAATATTTTATTTATATATCTAATTTTATTTAAAATAATTTTTAAATATAACCAAATTTATTTAGAAAATCGTATCGATCCAACCAGTTCAACCGACTGATGTTGATTCAATAGCAAATATTTTATTCAAGTGGACTAGACTGATTATAAACTTGTTCTCAGTCTATCCGGTCGGACTGTGTCCAACACGGTTTAATTTAAAAACGATAGGTAAATTTTGATTAATTTATTTGTATATTTAATTTATAATACAATCGTAATATTGTTTTCCCGTGCGTCGCACGGGCCACGCACTAGTTACCAATTAAAAGATAGAAAAACAAAATTATAATTATCTTTTTGGTATGTAAAAGTACTTGCCTCACAATCCATACATTGATTTTTTTTTTTTAAATTAACCTTATGAATAAAAAAAAAAAAGTATTTTAAAAAAATCGATCACTGAACAATAAAATTACAGATTCTAACATAATAAACATCTAACCTAATTTAAGCTAAATGTTGATCAGTAATGCTCACCTACCCACGGTGGGCACATGTTAATATGTCCACCGTTTATGTGGCATGCGCTCATTGGTGATGTATTTTTTTAAATATATTAATATTACCAATGTGTGCATGCCACAAAAACAGGAGACATATTAACATGTGTCCACCGTAGGTAAGGGAGCATTATCCAAATATTGATTACCAAACAATACAGGCTAGTATGTTATATACAATTCAAAAGGGTCAAGGGTCGCATTCTTCTAGATTGAATGGACCCCAAATTCCATTGAACTCTAGCCCAAGCCCAAGGGCCCATTATTCACTAATCACTAATTTACACAATTAAATATTCTTTCAAAAGTCAAAACTACTTTTTCGCCCTCTCTATATCTATTAACCACTTCTTATTGGTTTTTCCTACTAAAAGATAATTCCGTTTCCACCCCTCTAAAATATAAAAATTTCACCATGGCCTCAGCTCAGGAAGAAGTCGCATTCGACATGTCGCCGTTTTTCCGGCTGTT